TTGATGACCGGGGGGCGATTGGAAGAGGCGGCAATACTCAGAGGTGCATGGTGTGGCGTGCATGTGCATGCTCATTTGTATATACACAACAAAGTTTTGTGCAAACGCTGGCCAACCGTTTGCAAATAACTTTGCCAAACATGGCACGCGATTTGAAATGCATCTCCACATGTCGCCTTGTATGGGTCCATTTTCTAAAGCGAGGGGGAGAGCAACCGGGAATAGGTCGAGACACTCTATCACTATAATCGCAAAGACTGCCCACAAGTACTCTCAGGGGGCACGTCCGTGGTTGGGTGGCTTGCGCGCTCTGGCACCAGATTGCAAGAACTCGCGTGCATGTAAGCTGGCGCGATCCTGATCCTGGGTCGAAAATGAAAGCTGTACGCAAAAACAGGCTTACATCATAAACCGCATTTGAAGCATCATGGGATCGGGAGGAGGCGGGGGAAGAGGAGGAGGAGGCTGAGGAGGGAGGGAAAGAGAGAGGGGGGGGAGGAGGAGGAGGACGAGAGGAGGAAGTCGGCGAGGAATACACCAGAGGGATGGGGAAGATGATGGCAACAGTGGTACCAAAGGGGGGTCCCATCACTCGTCCTTCTTCTTCTTCTTGCTGGCGCGGTATACTGCGACCACCAGGGCGTGGTCGCGATGGTAGGGCTCGAGGGTGAGCTGCTCCTTTGGCTTGCAGCCGTCCTTGCGGAGCTTGTCCACCTCAGATGCGAACACTGCCTCGGGCGCAGCCGTGGAGTCAACGCAGTTGGCCTTGATCGAAATCACGACCCACCCGTCGTTCTTCAAGAAGAAAGAGGCGTTGTGGGTCACGATCCGCGCCTGGTCTGGCTGCGCCACATCGGAGAAGATGACGTCCACCATGCCGACGAGCATCCGGTACCTCTGTGGCTGCCGGGCGTCCTCCACGATTGGCACCACATTTGGTCGACGCTTCGCCATGTTGGTCAGGTCGCGGCCGGAGCGATGCGAGAATTCAACTGCGTACACGACGCCCTCTGGGCCGATCATGTCGGAGACGTGGGAGACGGTGGTTCCAGAGGCGCCCCCGAGGTAGAGCACCTTGGCACCAGGTTTGACTGGCATCTGCTCGATGCCACCCACGATCCCGGCGCCCAGCTTGGAGCGGAAGGGGTTCCAGACGCGGTACTCCACTTTCTCCTCTCCCTCCTCCGCCTCGGCTGCCAGGCGCTTCTCGCCGTAAACGGACTCGCCAGGAACGAGGTTCCTCGTCACCAGGGAGTCGTCCTTTCCTTTCGACACGAATACACCAGCGAAGCGGTGGGGCTCGATCACCACCTTCGCCTTGGCCTTGCCCTTGCCACCTTTACCGCCCTTGCCTTTGCCGCCCTTGCCTTTGCCACCTTTGCCCTTGTCCTTCCCTTTACCCTTGACCTTGCCCTTGCCCCCGCCCTTATCCTTGCCGCCTTTGCCCTTGCCCATCGCGCCCAGCCGCGGACCGCGCGAGCCGGGGACGACGGGGCCTCTACTGGAGTAACCACTTTGGCCTTGAACCACGATCGATAACAAAAGAGATACAGGAAGGGGGCCCCGCCTCCACCCGCTATCTGCACAAGTTTCTCATCATAACCCCAATACCGCCAAGGACCAGTACACACCAAATTTCTGGCACCACGGTGTCACGCGTATCAGCCCCTGCGCTCGCAGGGAGATAAGGCTTGCACTGTGCAGCCAAGCGCTGAGATGGGAAGACATAAGATAATTAAACATTCAGACCCTCGACTGGAGAAGATCGAAGGGATGGCTGTTGTCCCCGTCCTCTTGGCAAGTGGCTCAAGCCAATAATATTTCACACGACATCCAGGCCCTCGCCCGAAAGTCATCGTTTCTGGCATTCTGACACTGGTATCGATTCTCTTTCCCCGAGCAGTCTTAGAATGGGATGGGGGAGCGGATAGCACAGTGCCGACGCAACTCGGTGAGACGATCATGGGTCCACAACACAGGCGAATCCATGGCGGAATCTCGGCTCAGGGGAAAACGATATGTTGGTCTATGCATCCCCTATGGCCCAAATTGCCGAAACAACATTCCGACAGGGACTATTTCCAGTTCCCCCTGCCCCATCAAGTACCTCATCGACCACCCTTCGTTATAAAGAGGTCGAGAGGTGAGTGGGCGCAACTGTCGATTTGGGATTGGCGTCCGATCGGGTCCGCAATACATCGATATACATATATGATCGCGGGCTCTCCCCTCCCCCCAGATGGGATGGGGAGGGGGGAGGAGGAGGAGGAGGAGGAGGAGGAGGAGGAGGAGGAGGAGGAGGAGGAGGAAGAGGAGGACGACGACGGCGATGACGACGACGACGACGACGACGACGACGACGACGACGACGACGACACCGACAACGAAGATGACGACACCGACGACGACGACGACGACGACGACGACGACAACGACGACGACGTCAACGGCACCACCAGCGGCGGCGGCGACGACGTCGAGCACCGGAGCTGTCAACATGACGCCAATCCCAGCCACACGCCGCACGCACCGCACCCACAGGGGGGGAGGGAGGGGAGGAGGAGGACCATGGCGTCACCCCGCGCACACCCACAGCAACACATCACACCCACACCGTATCCACAGGGGGGGGGGGAGCCACCACGCCACGCCCACGCCCACAGGGGGGGTGGGGGCCATCGCGCGGGGGGGGGGGCCGATGGCATTAGCATTGGGGGGGAGGGGGGGGCCCAAACCCTCGACCATATATACATCTATACAGGTATGTCTGCACATCTAGATCTCTCGGCCTCGCTTATCTCTCGATCCCACTACCTACTTGCCCGCCGATCTCACTAACTATCTCTCTATCGGTCTCCAGAATCCCACCAGCCCTCTGGGCGTGGGTGGTTTAGAGCCTTTCCTCTTCCAACCTCCTTTTCTTCTCCTTCGGGGAAGGGTTTATCACGGTTCCTATTAAAATGACCCCCCTATCACAGGAGACCGGCGGCCAACCAGGAACCATGAGGACACCATGCGGACCCCCTCACCATCCCTGTCAAAAAACAAAACACATTGCACTCTGCCTCCACATTTGGAGCATGCGCGGCCAATCCGATGCGCTCCCCCCCACCATCCCTGTCAAAAAACAGCACAAAGTACACTTTGTATTGTTCTGACATCATATTCTTGAGGCCTGCGAGCACAGTATTCAATCATATTCGTGAGGCCTGCGAGCACTTTGTATTGTTCTTGACAGGGGCGGCGGGGTGTCAGCACATTGCCTGCTGTGCGCAGGGATACCATCCCTGGCACAACACTATACAACATGCACCTCGCGGCTAATTCTGTATCGTGCGCGTCCACCCCGCGATCACTGTCAAGTGGTTTTGACAGTGACGACGGGGGAGGTGGCGTATGGCCTGCTGTGCACAGGCCCACCAGATACAGTGATGGGCACTGGTTTTCGACATGGATGGTGGGGGCCGACATGCTTCCCGATGTGTGCTGTTACATGCGCAAGCGCACCCGACACCATCCGCACGTGCCGCGAACGTGGCGCACCTGACGCGGCTGGAGTATGCGGCACACCTGGCGCACGCGGAGCACGTGGCGCACCTGGCGCCTGGTACGCGTGGCGCACCTCGCCCCAGCGTCGCGCACATGGGGTTGGTTTTGGTTCCCAGTAGCTGCCCATCCAAAGACGACCGCTGAACATGCTCAGGTTCGGGTGTTACCTGATGTGTTGGGCGGGTAGGTGGGAGTGCACTAGACGGCTTGCTATCTAGGCGGGTGTCTTGACCCCCGTCCCCCGTGGACCTGGACGGGGGGGCTCGCGACCCATTCGAGCGTCCAAGAAGGCCTTGGCGAGACGGCACACATCAGTGATTTTGCTCAAGCTTTGGGCACACTGTGGCCTCCTGGGGGGGTGGAATATGGTACCCCCCCCCTCTTCGATCAATCTCCTCCGAGATGGCCCCAAGCTGCCCCACACGGCTCCCAAGGTTGCCCCAAGGCGGCCCCAAGAGGGCCCACGACGAGGTCCACAAGAGGCTCCCAAGAGGCCCGCCCGACGCACCCAAGACGCTCTACGAGGCCTCTGCGACCGCCAAGAGGCCCCCAAGACGCCTCAACAAGACCCCAAGCAACTCTCAAAGACGTCCGAAACGACTCCGAGAGAGATCCAAGAAACCCCTGGCCGTTCTGCTCGCCCTCCTCGTCGTCCTCCTCCTCTTCCTCATCCGTCTGTTCCTCCTCCTCCCTCCTCCCTCCTCCCCCCCTCCCCCTGCCCCTCCCCCTCCTACTCCTCCTGCTCCTCCTCCGATTTGTCCTTCATCCGCACCCTCTTGGGGTTCGGCGGCGTCCCCAGCCCCTTTTTCCACTGCATGCTCCTCCACATCCCTGGTCAGGGCAGCTCGCTCGGGCATCGTTTCTGGATGGGCTGGTGGGCTTACCCGAAGCGTCTAGAATGACAGCCGATTGATCTGCTGACCTGTCTACCTGCCCACTACCCACCAACCGATCTCACGATCTGGGGGTCCCACCATCTGCCTATCGATTACAATGTCGATATACCTATCGGCAACTCTGTCACTAGTCTCCCAATATATCAGCATTACCCACGGCAGTCATGATATTGCCGTTTCGATTTTACTTTAGTTTTGGAACCAAACTTCAACTTGCAATCCAAATTCAACTTGCAAGTCGATTGCCGTTGGATCACACCTGGATTTGCATTTCGATGTACCTCTCGGTTTGCAGGTCGACTTGCATTGCGGTTTATTTGTTTATTTGTAGATTTGCATCCCGATGTGCGTATGAATTGGACTGTCGACTCGAACTTCGATGTGCAATTCGATGTGGTGTGTTTTCTGTTCCGATTACATGCCCGTGTGTATTTTTTATCCCACCGGCCCTCTGGTCGCGAGTGTTTTAGGAAACTCGTTGTGTTCCGTTTATTCCCTTTTGGGGAGGGGGCCCCCCTACGTTCCCCTAGGTCTTTGGGGGGGGTCGCGAGGCGTTAGAGCGCTCAAGACGGCACACGATGGATCCAAGAGGGCCCCAAGGAGCACAGGATGGCCTCTAGGATGGCTCACGATAGTGCACGAAGGTTCAAGATAGCTTCCAATACGCACCGAAGAAGCCCGAAGACCGCTCCAAGGCGGCTCCAAATGGCCACGGAGCCTCCCAAGGAGGCCCCCAGGTCAAACATGACATGCTGTGTTTTTCAATGTGTTTTTGCCTTCTCGCTTTTTCGCTTCCGATGTGCTTTTGAAGCCTCAAGACGGCCCTAACATGGGTCACAGGGGCTCCAAGAGGGGCCCGATACTACCCCAAAGGCGCCCCAAGCAAGACGGCCAAGAGGCTCATTTGAGGACTCCGGTGGGGGGCGGAATTGGCGCCTCTGTGTTTTTTGTTCGATGGCTTCCAGGACGGCCTCGAGAGGGCCTGCGCAGCCTCCTAGAGGCGCCCAGAGGGTCCCAAGAGTGCCCGAAGTTGATCCCCGAAGGAAGCCACAGGTGACCAAGAGGTCTCCAAAGTGGCCCCACATAACCTCCCAGACGCTCCCATGGCGAACGATCTGCCAAGGCCTTGAGGGTTAATCTTTTCGTCGCCGTCGTGGTCTTGGTCGTCGTCGTCGCCTTGTTCCTCCTCGTCCTTCCGAAAGCCCGCGCAAACGGATGCGATTCACTGCTGGGCCGCATGCTGCTCTACATCCCTGATAAGGGCAACTCGACTGGCATCTGTTGTTGGATGGGCTGGTGGGGATATTTTGTTGTTTGGTACGCGGGTTCGCGAAGCAGGTCGAAAGCTGGGTACAGCTAGGGCGGGCCGCGCCGAAGCTGGTGGGGATACTTTTTGTTCGCGAGCGATCGCGGGAGAGCCGCGCGCCGTCACAATGGCCAAGCAAGCCTAACTGCCGCGGCAGGAGACAGGCTGGTGGGGATACTTTTTTGATCGCGACCGCGAGCGGGCCCCTGCGCGGCGTCGAGAAGTCAAGCGAAGCGCGAAGCCGTGCAAGTGCAAGGCAGCGGGACATGTGCAGGGCCACTACGCAGAGACTGCGCAAGAGCGGCGAAAACTAGGCGAAGCAGGAGGGAGCGGCACGAGTGGAGAAGACAAACGAAAAGAAGAAAGCGAAGAAGGCGGAATAACGACGAAAGGAACGAGAAAAAGAAACACACGCGGCGCAGCTCAGAGGCGGAGGAGCGGGTAAGTGACCACCAGGGCCTCGTTGTACATCGAGTACTTGCCGCGAGTGGGCGATCGGGTACTCAAGAACCACGCCAGCCGTCAGACGTCGATGGCCTCGAGCTGTCAGAACCAAGTGCCGAGCCGCGATCGTGCGCCAGCCGGCGGGAGACGCAGATGCAGCCGCGTCTACGGAGACCGTATCCATGGAGGCGCGAGCCGCGTTCGCACCGATGTCCAGGTAGCTGACCAAACGGCCGTCCTCCAGGGCCGACGCGAGACCGCGGGCGTATAAGGAACCTGCCGGCCCGCGTGCCCTGGGGGGAACACGGAGGGCCGGAGGCGCCCGGCAGAGGGGGGCGGCTGACAGCCGCGGGAACTTCGGTTATCTTCGATGGGTGGCGGCTGACAGCCGCTGAAAGGTGGAGAAAGCACGTCCAGTATCGCCTGAGACCAACCAACGGCCCCGGGGGTGCGGCTAACAGCCGCGGGTGATAGGTAAAGGATCCGCCTGAGACCTGCCAAGGCCCAGTGGGGGTGCAGCTAACAGCCGCGGAAGGGTTTGGAGACGGTCCCGCCTGAAACAATCCGACGCACAGGTGGGGTGCAGCTAACAGCCGTGGAGGCAGGTGGGGGTACTTTTTGGTTCGCGGCTCCAAGGCGAGGGACAGGGAGCGGGCACAACGTCCGGGGCGCGATACGATGTAAATTGGCGCGAGATTGCCGCAGACTCCAGCGGACAACACACGCAGTGGCGCACAGGTGGGGATACTTTTTTGTTCGGCGGCTCAAAGGACAGATCCAGTGAGCGGGAATAACGTCTGGGCCACAGAGCGAGATAGTTGGCTGCAGAGGCGCATAGGCCGCTGTAGCGAGTGCACATGCCAGGGACAAAGTGAAACAGGTGGGGATACGCGAAGCGTCAAGAATTGGTAGTTCGATGTGCATGCCAACTTACATTTCGAATTGCATTCCGACTGCACTTGCACTCGGATTTCGATGTTTTTTTTCGATTAGCAGTTTGTTTGCAAGTTGCTGTGGATTTCGATGTGCATTCCGATTGCCATGCTATTCCACTTTAGATGTGAACTTAGCACTGGGCAACTGACGCGACCACCTGCGGGGCAACACGGAACAACCTGCGGGACAACCGACGGGACAACCATTGGACAAACCACGGGACATCAACAAAACAACCCATAAGGCAACCGCGGGAAAACCCACGCGACAACCACGGGACAACCGCGGGAAAATCGTGGCGAGGCACCGCACAAACGGCGGAGTTAATTGGTGCACGACCTAGCCCTAGCTGCGCAGGCACATCGTCACCCTCGCGCAGCTTCGCCTCGCTCGCACGCGCGGCACGGACCGAAATCGGAACCGACTTCCCGATTGGGGTCCCTTCCATTCAAATCCAGGCGACGCCAAACAAAATGGCGATAAACATTTGTTTGACGTTTTCGCCACTGGAGATCGCTTTCTGGCCCTGGAACCGTCAAACAGCGACTCAGGATGAGGAGCCAACCCTGGGGAAGAGGACGAAATCTCTGGGGGGCCCGTAACACAACCCATGCGCGTCGCCGGAAGAGAAGGCAGGGGAGCCCAAATTCGATCTGGTAAGTCGGATGGGCGATCAAAACGAGTCGGTTTGGCGGAGATCGACAGCCCAGTCGGGAGAAGTAGAATCGGCGGACATCGGTGGGCTAGTAAGGCCTTCAGAGAGACATCGGAGTCCAGATCGGAATCCGAGGTCGAATCGAATCGGAATCCTAAACCATCGAAGTACAATCGAATCGGAGGAGTGATGACGACGACGACGAGGACGACGACGACGTCGATCATGATGATGACGACGATGATGACGATGATGCTGATGATGCTGATGATGAAGAAGATGAATATGATGACGATAACGATGACGATGCTTGTTGAATGCTCAGCGCATCGTCATCGTCATCGTCATCGAACTCGTCATCGCAAGCATCGTCATCGCATCGTCATCGTCATCGACCTCGCACCGTCATCGACCTCGCATCGTCATCGTCGTCGTCATCGACCTCGCATCGTCATCGACCTCGCATCGTCATCGTCATCGCCATCGACCTCGCATCGTCATCGTCACCGACCTTGTCATCGACCTCGTCATCGACCTCGTCATCGAGCCCTGGAGAAGGTCGTCCTCGCCCCCCGAGCAGTCCAGCCGGGGGGGCGTGCCGCCAGGCCTGGCCTGCTCCCTGCGGCGCCCTCCGCGGAGGCGCCACCCTCCCCGGGCCCTGCAGCTCAGTCCTGTGCGAATGCCTCGGAGGGCTATGGAGGAGGAGGAGGAGGAGGACGCGGAAGAGGAGAAGGAGGTGGGCAACGACGAGGAGGATAATCGTCTTGGAGACAAGGGCTTCCGCTGCTTTATACCTATCTGGGGAACTCCCTGGGCCCCAGCGAACATCGCACGTTTAGTTTATGGCCACCGCTGGCCATAAATACATCACCATTTTTTTATAGCAACTGGTAGCCATCAAACACGTGCTCTTATGGACACCTGTAGGCATAACAAAACGTGTTGTCGTGTTCTTATGGCCACAGGAAGTCATACCAAAATGTGGGTGTCGTCATTTTATGGCCAAGCAAATCTTTTTATGGCCACCGGTAGCCATCAAACACGTGCGATATTCTGAGATGCGCTCGCTTCGTGAAGAAAACGGCGGACAATTTTAGCTGTTTTTGGACCCTGGGGGCCCTCGCTGGGCCCCAAGACCGTCAAAAACGGATCGGAATGAAAAACGGGCCTCGGGGAAGGGGTCGGGGCTTCCTGTGGCCCTGAACAAAAATCAGGGCACCGCGTGCCTGGGGACGGAGCTAACCGTGTCCAGAGTACCGTGCCCGTCGGGTACCTCAACGCATCCCGCGACCGCCGCAACCCCGCAAAAGCAGCATTCACTGGCCCGCGCCGCCCCAAGCGCCGGGTCTGCCACGACTTCTCATCCGCCACGCTCAGCGGCGCTGGCACCCCGAGCGTGGCGCCCACTGACGGCGGAGTTGCTGATGAACGGGGAACGTGTAGAAGAGGCAGCAGGACTCAGAGGAGGAAGAACATGTACTGTGTTGTTCGTCCCTGTGTATTCCAACATCTTGTTAACATCCCAGCCCGCCAGCTGTTTCCTCATACTACTGCCAACCATTTTACGCAACTTGAGATGTGTCCCACCGAACGTACTCTACATATCGACTCGACTCGATGCTTACTTTTTTCCTTCACACGACGGGGAGAGCGCCCAAGCACGCTGCCGCGATCCCGATCCCATTCCGTAAACTGATCTATGTATAAGTCGCTCAGCAGCCATACAACATAAACTGCCGATGGCCATCATAAGATTGGAAGGTGGGGGAGAGGAGAGGGAAGTCGATGAACAAGATACCCGCAGGGGAGAATGACCGTGAGGAGAAGTGTACCAGAGGGGGATGCCATCACTCGTCCTTCTTCTTCTTCTTGCTGGCGCGGTATACTGCGACCACCAGGGCGTGGTCGCGATGGTAGGGCTCGAGGGTGAGCTGCTCCTTTGGCTTGCAGCCGTCCTTGCGGAGCTTGTCCACCTCAGATGCGAAAACTGCCTCGGGCGCAGCCGTGGAGTCAACGCAGTTGGCCTTGATCGAAATCACGACCCACCCGTCGTTCTTCAAGAAGAAAGAGGCGTTGTGGGTCACGATCCGCGCCTGGTCTGGCTGCGCCACATCGGAGAAGATGACGTCCACCATGCCGACGAGCATCCGGTACCTCTGGGGCTGCCGGGCGTCCTCCACGATTGGCACCACATTTGGTCGACGCTTCGCCATGTTGGTCAGGTCGCGGCCGGAGCGATGCGAGAATTCAACTGCGTACACGACGCCCTCTGGGCCGATCATGTCGGAGACGTGGGAGACGGTGGTTCCAGAGGCGCCCCCGAGGTAGAGCACCTTGGCACCAGGTTTGACGGGCATCTGCTCGATGCCACCCACGATCCCAGCGCCCAGCTTGGAGCGGAAGGGGTTCCAGACGCGGTACTCCACTTTCTCCTCTCCCTCCTCCGCCTCGGCTGCCAGGCGCTTCTCGCCGTAAACGGACTCGCCAGGAACAAGATTCCTCGTCACCAGGGAGTCGTCCTTGCCCTTCGACACGAATACGCCAGCGAAGCGGTGGGGCTCGATCACCACCTTCGCCTTGGCCTTGCCCTTGCCACCTTTACCGCCCTTCCCTTTGCCGCCCTTACCTTTGCCACCTTTGCCCTTGTCCTTCCCTTTACCCTTGACCTTGCCCTTGCCCCCGCCCTTGTCCTTGCCGCCTTTGCCCTTGCCCATCGCTCCCAGCCGCGGACCGCGCGAGCCAGGGAACGACGGGGCCTCCACTCGAGTAACCACCTTGGCCTTGAGCCACGATCGAGATGGAAGAGGGACAGAGTGAGGGCCTCGCCTGCATCCGCCCTGTCCACAAGGATATCGTCCTCACCCCACTGCCCACCCGGAGCAGTGCAAACCAAATTTCTCGCACCCAGGTGTCGCGCATCAGCTTCTGCGCTCGCATGCATGTGCGGTCCAGCGCCAACATGGGAACACATTACATCCCCGACCACGCCCTCACCAATCGAGCTATCGTGGGGATGGCTGGTAGGCTCCGTCCTGTTAACCAGCGGCTTAAATCGAGGATTAATTCCGGTTCTAATCAACTCATCCATCGTGCACACCTACATGCCGCGACTTGTTAGGCATGCGATGCATGCGCATGCCACTAACGCCATGTTGCGCTTCTATCAGACCGTATGTCTGTGGCGCTTGTTTGTGTGTGCGTGTGCATTTGGGGCGCACAATTTTTCAATCAGAACAAGCTCACAAACGTGTGTGATTTGACCAATTGGTGTCTGTGTGTGTGTATGTGTTTCAGTGGGAGGGAAGCCGGCAACCGCCACGTATTGCTTGCAGCTCTGGCGCGCGACGACACACCACAGTGTAAACGATGCGTGCGAGCTGTCGCCGCAACGTTCCATGGTAGCACTGCTACAAAACTCCCCGCGGCGGTCTGGAGGACTGCCATCAACTCTTCTCGCCGCACTTCCCCACCATTGCAGAGGATCACAAAAAGAGACAACCAGAAATTTCCGCAGGACCGCGCTGACTTCTTGAATCGGCGCTGGATCTTCCTCCCTGGTGCGCGGAGCGCGCCAGGGGCGGCGCTGGAGGCGCCGCCAAGGGGGCCCAGCGCAGATCCAAGAAATCCGCGCGGAGCTCCGAAAGATTACGTTTACGCTTGTCTTCAGTTCCTCGGCTTTGGTGAGATGTGCCAAGTGTCCCCTCCAAGACACTCGGCGCGCACGGCCACCCTCCTTTGAGCAAGGACCGACAGTCTCGACATTCCTATAGACCTACCACGAGCTTGTTATAGAACCCCCAAATGTTCCAATAACAGAGACAATGTTCTTTGAAGATAAGCCTGGTATGTTAAATAAGATAGCTTCAGCCAGACATGTTCTTAACACAGTACGTGCAGACCACAAGAACGTTCTTAGAACATTCTGTAGTGGGCCTTTAGGCAAGCCGGGACGTTTCGCCACTGCTTGAGATGCCTGCGAGGAGCTCACATTAGGAGGCAACTACTGGGAGGTTTTCGTCGGAAAGATGAAAAAGGATTAAGCCCCATTTAGGAGCTATTACGCCGGAGTGGGCCTCGGATGAAGCGGCATTCAGCCGGATCAAGCGGGATTCAGCGGGATTGAGCCGGATTAAGCCGGACTTCGGACCAGTGCAGAATCAGAATTTGACCTCCCAGGAGTTGAACGAGCATAGACCTTCCAGGAGTTGGCCTCACAGGGGAAGAGAACGCTGCACGAGCATACACTTCTGGAGGCCCGCGAGGACAGCCTGGGTCGGCGCCGGCCCCCCGCGTCCGCGCGGGCCGCCTGGGTCGGCGCTCCGCCACCCTGGCGCGCGGAGCGCCTCGCCACGGGATGCTCGGCGCGGATCCAGAGAATCCGCGCGGAGCTCCGACAAGCGATCTCACCTCCTCCTCCTCCTCCTCCTCCTCCTCCTCCTCCTCCTCCCTTCCACCTCCTCCTCCCTCCTCCTCCTCCTCCTCCCTCCTCCTCCTCCTCCTCCTCCTCCTCCTCGGCTCAGGCCCAGCGCTGCTCTGCCGTGTTCGTGCCGTGTTCTCGCCTTCGATCTTAGCCCGGCGCGATCCCGAAGTCGGGCCCACAACTCGTGCGTGCGCCTCTCGTGCGGCTACTGCCCCTTGAACCTTAGGTGATTCTCGGGGGCGGCGGGGCATTTTTTTGGACTGTTTCTGGAAATCTGGATCTTGAGAACGGAAAGGGGGTAAACAAAAACACAGTTCGTCGAAACGGAGACAGAGCAGCTCCAGGATCGAAACCGGAGCTGGCACCGGAAACACAACGGCGATGGAACCGGAAAACAAACTGCGCCAGAACTGCGTGGGAAAAGCGGCAAAACGAAGCCAGAACAAAAAGCTGCCCTGTCGCTTCCAAGAATCACTCATGGGGAGCAGAAGAACCACCCTCGTAATAAGCACCCAGACGCGCAAAGCCGTTGATGAGCCGTACCCAAAGCAAGAATCGAACAGGGCAGGGCTGTTAACAAAAACGCCCAAGGCCGTTTAGTGGACGCCGATTATGTGAGGCGTGGGTGGTTTTTCCTCCCTGTTGAGCAGGGACCGACCGTCCCGGCATTCCTCTAGTCCTACCACGAAATGCTCCTAGAACCTAAAGATGTTCTAAGGACAAAAACAAGGTTCGTATAACAGAAACCCGATGTGATACAACAAGACAGTCCCAACCAGACATGTTCTAAGAACATGTCGTGGGAACCACAAAAGGTTCTTAGAACATTGTTTGGTAGGGCTATAGGCGAGCCAGGACGCTTCGCCACTGCTTGACCCTTGACACTCAGCCCTGAACTGGGTGTAGTCGGAGAGGCGCACAGCCGTGCGGGGGTCGAAGGCCTGCAGGGAGCCGTAGACGGCCAGCAGCCTCTGCCAATAGCAGGCCGCGGCGCCGGTCGAGAACAGCGTGCTCGCCACCCGCTGGCCCTCCGCCGCGATGGCTCGAAGAAGAAGAGAAGCAACACATACTGTCGGACTTCATTGGACAGGACACGCGAGAGGACAAAGACAAAAGACCCTTCCGAGGGCCACGTTGCCACAGGAATGCAGGAGGCATGGGTTGCAATACACAGGATACGAGGGTACCCTTGATCTGGCAGGGTCGACCTACTAGTCTGGGCCGCCTGTACATACGGTCGGCAATTCTTGCTCAGCGTGTCGCGGCGGCGGCCCCGGCGACACGCTGTGCCTTGCGAGTCGATCGTGTGTCGCTTCGCTCCGCGAGGCGGGAGCCTGGGAGACGCTCGGGACGTTGTGACGCTCGGGGGCTGGGAAGAGGATGGCGTGCCGCGCCGAGGCGTGGTGGGCCAGAGCCCGCGGAGCGACACGCTGACCAAAAGTTCCCGACCGTAAGCTTTCGGAGGTCTGCGCGGATTTCTTGGATTGGCGCTGGCTCCCCCACCTTCCTGGCGCGCGGAGGGCGCCAGGGGCGGCGTCGGAGGCGCCGCCAGGGGGGCCCAGCGCCGATCCAAGAAATCTGCGCGGACCTACGAAAAAAAAACAAAATGTTGATGCATTTGTTTCTCCTTTGAGCGATGGCGCGCGCTGCCGCGTCGTTCTGCCTGAGCCACGCCAGCGTGTCGGTGAGGTTCCTGGCGCTGCACCGGTTCCTCTCGAAGGCCACGAAATGGACGCCGGGCTGCAGGTGGCGGTAGAACCTGAGGGGGCAAAGGCTGCTCCCCAGCCCTCTCCTGGGGTGCATCCTGGCCAGAATTCTAAATTAGAACCCAGCCGTGGCGACGAGGGCTCTCTAGGACGAGCAGCGACATCGGTATATCGATCCTTCCCGTGAGAACCACTCCTGGTAGACCGAGTCCTGCTTCAGCACCACCGACCCCAGCATCAGCAGCTTCAGCAGGCGGTTGCTCGCCGTGGTGCCGTCCAGATGGAGGAGGTACTTGTGCCGGGCATGGTCCTTTGGAGTCCTTTCGGGGCCCCTTTGGGGTCCTTTGGGGGCCCAGTGGGGTCCCTTCGGAGCTTCTTTGGGACCCCTTTGGGGGTCCTCTCGGAGCCCCTTTGGGGTCCTTTCGGGGTCCGTTTGGGGTCCTTTCGGAGCTCCTTTGGGGTCCTTCTGGGGTCCCTTTGGGGTCCTTTCGGGGCCTCCTCTGAGGTCCTTTGGGGGCCCCTTTGGGGTCCTCCATCGGCACCGGCGCGGCGTACTTGCGGCCGGGGTGCTGGGCCTCCACGAAGGAGGGCGCGCCCGTGAGGCCCACGTCCAGCTCCCCAGCCAGGGGCTCCCCGGGCTCGCTCTGCGAGGCGAGCCAGCGGCGGTACCCGAAGGGCCGCGAGGTGGAGTCGCCCCACGGGCTCCTCTCCAGGCAGTCCTCCTCGGGGCGCGTCGGGAGGAGCTCGGTGAACGAGTTCGACGAGTCCCAGTCGTGCCCGCGGAAGAATGCCCGCCCGCCGCGGCCCTCCCACGGGTGCGCCGCCGCGGTGCGCCTCTGCCAGTCTGGGCTCTCCCAGACTGCGAAATCCTGCTTCACCTTGTTGGACGAGATGCCCCCCGAGGTCTCGAAGTAGGCGTGGCTGGGCACGGGGATGTCCCAGTGGCCTCGCGACGTCATAAAGGACAGTAGCGGAAGGGGCGGCTGGCGCTGCCGCTCCAGGTAGGGCTCGTCCAGCACGGACAGCACCAAGCGCACGTTCGGCAACCACTTCCTGTAGGTCTTGGCCGTGTGCGCGAGCAGCTTCATGGTGGCCTCCTGCCACGGGCCCAGCTTGGCGCCAGTCTTGCGGGTGTACACCCGGCCGCCGACCACGACGACGTCCAGGAAGTCCGCCACCGTGCCGCGCGGCACGAGTTGGAATGCCTTCAGGCCCTCTGTAGTCCTCAGCCCTCAACCCTCAGGATTGAATAATGAAGGGGCCTGGGCCCCCAAATCCCTGAATCTCCCGGGGCTCCTGGCGTGCCTCCCGGGCCCTGGCGCGTCTTCTCGCGTGACCCTCTCGGGCCACAGAGGGGGCCCCGACAACGGAGCAGGAGGGCCCCGAGACAGCCACGGTGGCGGGGTGGGCCGAAGGCCCGTCGATCCGCCGCCCCCCAGTGCTTGCCACATGGGGTGCACGGCGCGCTGGTCCTTCTCTGGACATTGCCAATGGGGCTCGGCAGATCGCGTCGGCGACCCGCAGGGTCCCGCCGGGCCTGCCCTGTGCAGTTTCGCACTCCATGCAGGGCACCAGTGCGCCCTGACTGAGGGCGGCAATAGCGTCCGCCCTGAGCAGTTTACCGAGTCCCCTAAGGGATTCAATGCGTCTCCTCGGGCCCAGCGGACAGGCAGCCCCCGTGTCTCTCCATGGAAAGGGCGCTTCCCGGGTCATCGGTCTTCCAGCTCCAGGCGGCCCCAAGATGGTCTCCAAGTCGGCCACGTGGCCGCTTCCGAAAGGCAAGGGGCGGCGGTGATTCGCCTTATGCGTCTTGGATAGTAGTGCCACCCGTTCCACTTCTGCGCCAGCGCCCACATGTCGCTCACGTTGGCCGCCGTGATGGGACCGTGCGCCGCCAGTGGCTCGAAGTCCTGGAAGAAGTCGAGCGACGTGCGGTCAGGAGCTATAGCTTACGGTGAGGGCACTGTGTCGGCCCCTCCCTTGGATAAGGAATCCAGGGTCTGAAAGCTGGTGGAACATCAATTGAGGCTTGGCCATGGATAGCACCGCGGCCCTCATTAGATAAAAAACCCTGCAGGGTCTGAAGCCTCCTGGGCGCATTCCTTAACGAACGCACCCACCGTACTGTCAGGAACGTTTGCTTGGTGTGTCGCGGCGGCGGCCCTGGCGACACGCTATCCCTTGCAAGCGGATTGTCGCTCCGATTCGCGAGGCGGGAGCCTGGGAAACGCTCGGGATGTGGACGCTGGGGGACTGGGAAGCGGATAGCGTGTCGCCGAGTCATGGTGGGCCAGAACCGGCGGAGCGACACGCTAACCAAAAGTTCCCGACCGCAGGCATGAGCTTTCGGAAGTCCGCGCGCATTTCTTGGATCGGCGCTGGAACCCTCTCGTTGGCAAACAGGGCGCGCCGTCGCTCGAAGAGGAAACACATATATTAATATATGGCCAATTCCGGAATCCCTGAACCCAAACATGCTGTCATCTCTTGGGATGTCGACTTTGCTTCCACCGCCTTTCCGCCGGCTTCCGCTGGCGGAGGCGGCCTCGTTTTACTTCCGCCGACCTTCCGCCGCCCTCCGCCGAGGAAGAGATGACAACTCCTTCGATCCTCAAAGGCAAGGCCTTTTTGGGAACGCCCTGTCTAGTTTTTCGGAGGTCCGCGCGCATTTCGTGGATCGGCGCTGGACCCCTCCCCCCGGCAAACGGAGCGCTCCGGCGGCGGCGGCGCCGCCAGGAGGCGTCCAGCGCCGATCCAAGGAAGCAGCGCGGAACTCCGAAATTTTGTGCTCATGCCATGTCTTCTTCCTCGGAGGTCCTCCCAGATCTTCGGCCAGAGCTCCGCGTACTGCGCGCACTCATCTGGCCCAGCCAGCGCCTCTCTGGTGCAGTCAGCTAGCCTCCTAGACCCTCAGAGGAGAGGATGAGGAGGAAGAGGCGGAGGATCGAAACGAGGAGGAGGAGGAGGAGGAGGAGGAGGAGGAGGAGGAGGAGGAGGAGGAGGAAGAGGGGGAGGAAGGGGAGGAGGACCAGTGGAAACCCAAGAGTTATCAACGATGTTGGGACTATCCAGTGAAGAAGCTGCTTCGTTGGTGGACGACAACCGTTGGACGACCCTGAAGCATGCCAAAACAATGTTCTCGGGATTCCAACGCCACGGATCAACCCGACTGCTGCGTCTTGACGATCTTGAATCGTGCCAGAACACCATTCCTGAGACTTCAACACAGCGAACCAACGTAACTGTTGAGGCCCTTCTAATCCGGAATCCTTCAAACAACCATTTTTGGGTCTGCTGATCATGGGAATCCCTGAAACTCTGCAAATGTTTAAAACGAATGTGCGCGGCGCTAAGGCGACAGCCACATTTTGAATAGGAACCTCCCTCAATCTGTGAAGCTCTTGAATTCAAAAACAATGCGCGGCGCTAAAGCGAGAACCATATTTTGAAAACCACCCGCCCTCAATCCGTGAAACTCTTGCAAACTTGTAAATCGAATTTGCGCGGCGCTAAGGCGAGAACCACATTTTGAAAACCACCCGCCCTCAATCCGTGAAGCTCTTGCATAATTTGGAAAAAATGCGCGGCGCTAAGGCGAGAGCCACTTTTTGAAAACCACCCGCCCTCAATGCGTGAAGCTTTTGCAAATTTGTAGAACGAGTGTGCGCGGCGCAAAGGCGATAACCACATTTTGAAAACGACCCGCCCTCAATCCGTGAAACTATTGCAAGTGTTTGAAAAGAGTGTGCGCTTCGCTGGGGCGAGAGCCACATTTTGAAAACCACCCACCCTCCATTTGTGAAACTGTTGTCACTTTTCAAGCTTCAGGGTAATGGTGAGGAAGTCTCGGGCGAAACGCCCGGCCCGCCCTAAAAACTGGCTTAGGGGTGCGACAGGGGAAAATTATTTATCAGGAAAAGGAATGGAGGACCATAATAAACCAAAGATGCTTAAACGATGCTGGAAGATACCCTCCTGCCCCAAGTCCCATCATCCTCAGACGCCCCTACACGTCCTCCGTTTCACTACAAGAGGTGCGTTGAAGACCAGCAAAATTGGGCCTGCCACTCTGGCGAGGGCCCCGCTTTGAAAATGACTTGCCTTGCGCCATGCTTCCGAGTGATGAAGAATGCGAGAGACTACGATCATACAATTCAACCAAATGTCCAACGATACCCCCTTTTCGAATTAGGACCACCCCCAAATCCGTGTACCTGTTGCACAAGTTTACACATGTGGTCATATCTTCGAGGAAATCTCAAGTGACAGCTCCATTTGGACAAATGGTGGTCCTCCATCTTGCTAAACGCTGCGTTGAAGAACGACTGCGCGCGGCGCTGAGGCGAGAACCACGTTTCACAAGCGACCAGTGCGCAATCCTTGAACTGTGTGCCAAATTTGGAGACGAACCTTCGCGGCGATAATGCCAGAACCCCACTTTGAAAAATGAGCCACCCTCCGTCCGTGAAGCTGGTGCGAACTTTGGAAACGAAAAAGCTCGGTACTAAGGCGATAATCTTATTTTGCAAACAGCCTCCCTCCAACCTTGACGTTGTTACAAACTGGTAAAGCGAATGTACGCGGCGTTCAAGCGCGAACTGCGTTTCGAAGACGCATCAATCCATCCGTGAAGCCGTTGCGCATGTTGCAAGCGAATGTGCTTGGCACTAAGGCGGCACCCGCATTTTGAAAAAGAACCGCCCTCTATACGTGAAGCCGTTATGAACTTTTCGAACACATGTGCGGAAGCGAAATCCAAACTTTGAACACGAACCCACATCGGTGAAACTGCTGCGAACTCTAAAGGCCAATGTGCGCGGCGTGAAAACGATAACCACACTTTGGAAAGAAACCGCCCGCCATCCGTGAAACTGTTGCAACCGTTTCAAATAAACGTGCGCGGCGCTAAGGCGAGAACCACGCTTTGAAACTACCCCCATCCATCATCCATCCGTGAAGCTGTTCTAATCGTTTCAAACACATGTCAGCGGCTCATAAGCGAGAACAAGATTTTGAAAACGACCCCCTAGATCAGTGAAGCTGTTCTTGTAAACTTTTACCGAAGAATGTGCGCGGCGCTGCCGCGAGAACCACATTTTGAAAGTCACTCCCTACCATCCGTAAGCCTTCTGGAATTCCCAGGCTTCAGCATCGTGGATGGTGAGTAAATCTCTGGCGAGACGCCTGGCCCACCCTACGGACAGGTCTGGGTGTGCAGCAGGGTGGAGTTCGCTACGATTTTTCATGGACAGGGATGGAGGAGGAGGCGGAGGAGGAGGAGGAGGATGAGGAGGAGGAGGATGATAACGAGGATGAGGCTGAGGCGGAGGAAGAGGAGGAGGATGATGAGGAGGATGCGGAAGAGGAGGAGGATGAGGAGGAGGAGGAGGAGGAGGAGGAGGAGGAGGATGAGGAGGACAACGAGGATGAGGCGGAGGCGGAGGAAGAGGAGGAGGAGGAGGAGGATGCGGAGGAGAGGAAGAGGAGGAGGAGAGGCGGAAGAGGAGGGAGGAGGGGGAGGAGGAGAAGGAGGAGAGGAGGAGGAGGAGGAGGGGGAGGAGGAGGAGGAGGAGGAGGAGGAGGATGTGGAGGAGGATGATGAGAGGAGGAGGAGGGAGAGAGGGATGGCGATGATGACGCTGATGATGCTGATGATGATGCTGATGCTGATGCTGGTGCCGATGACGCTGCTGCTGATGATGATGCTGCTGCTGCTGCTGATGATGGTGATGATGAGGAGGAGGAGGAGGAGGGGGAGGATGGGGCGGATGAGGAGGAGGAGGAGGATGAGGAGAAGGAGGAGGAGGAGGAGAAGAAGGAGGAGGAGGATGAGGAAGAGGGGAGGAGGAGGAGAGGAGGAGAAGAGGAGGAGGAGGCGGAGGAGGATGAGGAGGAGGCGGGGGAGGAGGAGGGGGAGGGTGAGGAAGAGGAGGAGGAGGAGCGGAGGAGGAGAAGGAGGAGGGGAGGAGGAGGAGGAGGAGGAGGAGGAGGAGAAGGAGGAGGGGAGGACGAGGAGGAGGAGGAGGAGGATAACGAGGATGATGCGGAGGCGGAGGAAGGAGGAGGAGGAGGAGGAGGAGGAGGCAGA